AAAAAAAAAAAAGAATGAAAAAAAGAAGGTGGAGAATTTAGGCCGGGCATGGTGGCTCATGCCTGTAATACCAGCACTTTGGGAGGCTGAGGCAGGCAGATAACTTGAGATTAGAAGTTCAAGACCATCCTGGCCAACATGGTGAAACCCTGTCTCTACAAAAATGCAAAAATTAGCCAGGTGTGGTGGCAGGTGCCTGTAATCCCAGCTATTAGAGAGCCTGAGGCAGGAGAATCACTTGAACCCAGGAGGCGGAGGGTACAGTGAGCCGAGGTCACATCATTGCACTCCAGCCTGGGTGACAGAGCAAGACTGTCTCCAAAAAAAAAAGTGGAAAATTTGAGACTTATTGAAATTGCCTAGGGAAGTAATTCTAAATAGAGATTTTTGGAAACAGCATGACACATAGATTGCCTAATTTTGGATGACAAAAATAGTTCCTGCGTCTGGAAAATGTGCTAGAATTTGAAGGAAAAAAAGAAAAGATTCGCTCTTCATTATCGTTAACTTCCAGGTGGTAAAAGAGAGCTTAAAAAGAGAGCCAGTTTCTAATTGGGATTGGGATGGTGTAGGTTAAAGGTTGTAAATGAGTTTATAATGTGAGAGTTTGGCCTCCTCAGATAAGGGGATTGGGGAGATTCAGCAAAGAGGGTTGGAGTGGGAAATAGCAGAGGTGGAGAAATTAAGGATGCAGAGTGGGTATGAAAATTTTGAGTACTGGTGACAGAATTGAGAGTTTGTACCAAGTTGTAATGATTTTGGTGAGTTGGTTTTGAAGTTTTCCAGCTAAGTTGTTTTTAGCTGTACTCTTGGCTTTATTTTCCAGAACAACAAACGACTTGAGATCTTTGAATGCCATGGCCCTCGTGCAGTCAGCTGTCTTGCCACAGCTCAGGAAGGTGCCCGAAAGCTGCTGGTGGTGGGATCCTATGACTGTACCATCAGTGTACGTGATGCACGGAATGGGCTGCTTCTCAGAACTCTGGAGGGCCACAGCAAAACCATTCTTTGCATGAAGGCAAGTACAGTGCAGGAGAATAGGAGTTGTCTGGCACAAGAGAAGGATTTTGAGGCCGGGCGGGGTGGCTCATGTCTGTAGTCTCAGCACTTTGGGAGGCCATGGCAGGAGAACCATTTGAGCTCAGAGGTTTGAGATGAGCCAGGGCAATATGGCAAAATTTCATGTCTACAAAAAATACAAAGGTTAGCGGGCTGTTGTGGTACGTACCTGTACTACTCACAAGGCTGAGGTGGGAGGACCACTTGAGCACAGGAGATTGAGGCTGCAGTGAGCCATGATTGTGCCACTGTACTCCCATGTGGGCAACAGTGTGAGACCCAAAACAAAACGAAGGGTTTTGAATGGCATTTCCCTTGTTGTTTCATGCATAATATAGAAACACCACCTTGGAAAGAGCAAGGAGATTGCTAACCTTTTCTTTACAACTGCAACACCAAGTGATATACTTTCATTTGAGAAACAGTAAGAGTGTATTTTGTTACAGTGTGGGTATACTCAAACGCCCTTCTAGGCTGCTTCATAATCATTCTGGAAAGGTAACAGAGGTAAGAATGTGTCATCAGTTCATTAGCGTGCCTGGTGGGAGGGTATAAGTTTCAGCTGAGAAAATTTGTCTGAGAAACTTTTTTTTTTTTTTTTTTTTTTTTTGAGACGG